ACTGAAATTTTTAAAAAACATTCGAAAACTTGCCTCTTTAAAAGAAAAATATTTCTCTTCTCAGCTAGAGATTTGCGAACTTGGAACTTTTCAAATATTTGTATGGAAATTTTATAACTAGATTTCTAGTTTCTTAAGAACTGCTTATTAAAAGCCAACTTTGCACACAAGCCTGCATAGGTAACAATTCCTTCATCTCGTGATGAAGCTTTTAAAAATATTTAATACTCTACCCTTTGTAACATATTTTGCATTTTAAATGAGTGATACAAATATAGTCCTTCCAATTTCTGTGGAAGATTTTCCTTTGTACTAATAATATGCATGTTTTAAAATTTCATTTATTTTTGAATAAATTTCATTAAACATATATAAACTAGATCTAAACCAGGTGATATAGTAACGTCTTTAAGAAAAACCTAAAAAAAATCTAGTTACTAAGAAAAAAAAAGTTTAGCTTAAAACTTATTTAACTTTCGCAAAATAACATGTGCAAATAAAGTGTTTAGTATAAGTGAATAACTTATGAACCTACCAAAGAATAGATGAACGACTTTTTATTTGAATCCCCTCAAATGTCGAAAGGATGATTGGAGGAGAGTGAACAACATCGGTAACAACACGTCAAATGAATTTATCAACTCCATCGGCATTGCCTACCGATCTCCTGCCGCGTCTGGTATGCCGAGACAACACGGACTCAAAACCGTAACTCAGGATATTCGAAACATCGGTGGCTGAGTTATGTCCTTTTCTTGTTTTTTATTCTTACCTCTAGTGGGGGAGGGTCAGTGCCATATTTTATTCTCAGAGGTTTACGTCTTGCTGAAATATTTGTTGTTAGTTCATGATAGTGTTGTAATATAGAGTAATGTTTTTCTCGCAACCGGGGAAAATAGTGTTTTTTTTCGGATCCGCTCAAAGATTTTAATTGCATTTACAGCCGTAATTCTTAAAAGATTTTACTGTTTTTAAAATAAATAAAACTGAACTGATTATTTATGTTCACTGATTGCAAATTTTAGTACTTAAGAATATATTTTTTGAGCAAAAATGAAATCCAGTTTATTTCCTTTTTCCCCACAGTTTATATATATGAACTTATAGCTCTACGAACCTCAACAAAATTAGTGACTGTACTAACAGTAATCAGCTGCGATTAAACACGGTTCTGATTCTTGGATAAAAATAGTTTGTGTTAGCAAAATGGTTTTCAAACCGTTTGACGTCACGTTTGCGAAACAATGCAGTTGGAGGGTGTTAGTGCTATTCGTGATTTTTAATGTTTTGTAAATATTGAAAATGCACAATTTCAGGTCAAAATATATTACATTATTATATTTAGGAGAATGCCTTTGTTTCACTGAAAAATTCAATAACTGATATAATTAAGCTACCAATTCCTATATTTTTGAAAAAGTTCCGAGAGAGTGTGGTGAACGGGTAAAATGTAACAGTACTCATTTAATTTGAACTTTATTGTTTGAAATTTAAATGTACGGAAAAAATTTTAGCCGGGCATTTTAAAAAAATTGGTAAACAGCTTCCTTCAACATTTCAGTTTAAATTCTCAGCGTAGAGAAATGAAAATAATAATGCCAGTGGTGGAACATGCAAAAAAGCCACACCACAAGAAAACAATATATANCCAGTCTATAAAAATAATAGGTCTTTTGTTTAGAAACCTTTAAAAGCATTAAATAAAAGTCAAAATTAAACTACTTATAAATATAAGGCATTTCATGGCTTTGTACAAAGTTCTTCATTTATATATATATATATATACCTGCCATCTTTTTCTCGCTTCGAAAGAGCCAACAATAAGATAATTTTTACAAAATATTGTCTAAAATTGCGCAAGATAGGCGTATTTTTTCTGGCGTAATTATTTCGCACAACTTATGTGATTCTTTTATGCTGCGCACGCGTGAAAAATATCTAATGTTTTTCGCCTTGATTTCTTTTTTAATCGGATTCAGTAATTTAAGAAAAAAGTCCGATTTGAATATCTTTAACTCTAGGTTTACGGGAAGCGTCATTTTGACGCATTTCGAATTTTATAAGGAAAAATTACAAAACCCGTTAGCATTTTTATTTTATCTCTTGTAATGACTTTTATCCATTGATCGAGGTAAATATATATTATAGTCTATTTTCTTCAAAAGCGTTGAAATATTGAAATTCTCTTTGTGGTATACCTATCTCTACTGATATGTGTCAATTTGACGCGATCGTAATTTAAACAAAATTTTGATTAAACATGCAAACATCGCATGAATAATAAATAGGAATGTACGGACAATACTTCGATCCGTTATCCGATATCATTATCTCAAATGAAACAAACCATAAACAACTGTTGCCGATAAGCAATAATAGAAAGAACACACGCAGAATGTCAATTAATGTCAGAGTGTCAGATTTTGAAGGTTTCAGTTCCTTAGTTCGAGTATTGAAAAATAAAATACTAGAATATTTCATAAATATATATATTTCATATTTTCATTTTTTTCTTATAGTATATAATTACATTGCTTTTTAAGTGCAGAGATGCCAACTGCTCCGGACACGCCAAAATAATTTTTAAAAAAGCGGTAAATTACTACTAAGTAAATTTTGCGAATATAAAGTGGTGAATTATATAAGCCTACGAATTATTTAGAAATAATGGTGGATAAAAATCTACTAACCTGAATTTGCTAGGCCAAGAATCACAATTGATAAACTACCACTTAAAAATATATATTTTATGCCGGGAGCAAGTTGGCATCTCTGTAAGTGCTGTTATATGTATTCGCTCATGTGTCAAATTGACGCGTGTTCGTAGACATACCCTCCAACTTATGAGGATTTTGAAAATAATTCTTTCTAGTGGTAGCGAACCAAAGTAGAAATTTTTAAAGCAAATGGATCTCTCATAAAACTTTTATCAGAACTTAAGAATCTAGCCATATGGCCTGCACTTTTATAAGTAATAGTGGACAAGTTACGCTGAAATTAATTTTTTTTAAATATTAAGACATTAATTTTGTTACCGTCTGAAAAGAAGATTTCTGAAACTACGGAAATTCCGTAGCAGTTGGAGGGTATGTTCGTAGAGATAGGTATATAAGAAACATCCGTAAACCTAGTGTTAAAATGTGAAAAGTTTCTAGCAAATTGCTAAGAAGCCTTTGTACTTTCTAAGAAGCTTTTGTTTCTAGCAATTTTCTAAGAAACTTTTTCTGGAAGAAAACTCTAAATGATAAGGGATTTTCTACAAAGTTCCTTTTTTTTTGTATCATAAAACAAAATTTAATACCAAAGGATAATACCCTACAATGATTATCCGGATTAAAAAATGGGATAGTATAAGGAAGGAAAACATATGAAATAAAACATTAATTTAATAAGGAAAGGTCCTCTAATAATGCCGTGGTAATTATTAATAAATCCTGCTGAAACGTACAAAACAAGAGCTTTTTTTTAAAATTTGCAAAAAACTACTTAGAAAATTACAAAAAGCTTTTTAAATTTTAAAGATATTAGTTGAGATAGATAGGTTAAACAGACTATTTCACATAAATCAGGAAATTTTTTCATAAACATAATTTTCAATTGGCCATAAACACCATAAAATTATTTAAAAATCAAATTGAAACTTTTTTTCAGAATACTGCTAGATAAATTTAATTCTTCTTCTAGTTTGAAAAAATCACTTAAAAAGGATTTTTAATTCTGATGTTTATGTGTATTTATGAACTTCTTAAAAGTTAAAAGAAAATATTTTGCTATTGTTAAAAAAAATCATAAATGTTAGCAATAAATTTTTTAAAAACAAGGGAAGGTCAGAGATGCCTCTGCTTTGCTGACATGAGCACCCGAAAAAAGAAATGCACACCTCTAGGAAATAATAAATCATGTTAAAAAAGAAATAAATTAAAAATTACAATTAAAAATTAACATTTTTATTTTAAACAATTAAAACTAATACGTATTATAAAGGAACTATACCAGTTCATACACTTAGCATAAAAGTTACACATTAATTTTTCCGCTAATTGCTGAATTAAATACCCTAATAAATTAATTTAATTTCTTTGCAAATTTGAATTTACAACAAAAAACTGCAATAATTTTTTTTTAATTAATTGGATTTTCGTGCTCATACCGTATTAATTTAAAAAATTAAACTAAAGCACAAATTTTTATTATTTTGGTTTTTAATGCTATCAAAGCGGGCTTAAATAAAACTATTGAAGTTACTTGTAACAATTTCTAATTATCATATATAAAAATATTTTACCTAAATAAAATAGAAATGTTTGATCATGATTTTTATTATAATGACTATATCTTCCGGTTGCATCCCCCTATGTCAAGTGGTAGTAAAATTTATGTCCCTTTCATTGGAATGCTCATCTCTGGCACCATAAATTATCTCCAAATTTTGTAACCACTTTATTTATTGGCATCCCCATATGATAATTGTGGTGGGTTTTGTCGCTCAAAGTGGTTCCGTCCGTTTTTTTAACTGTAAAAAGAACCTCGAGTCCAAAGGTTGACTTCGTTTTATTAAATTTGATTTGAAGCCAGCCTCGACGTATTAAGAACGACAATTATCTCATGGGGAGGTTTCTTGAAATATTTTCAGAATTAACCAAGTATCAGAGAAAAATTTGTAGTTAATTTTTATATTAATTTACAGAATCTTTTGCCAACACTGGACTTTTAACAAACGATATTTTCATCTTAAATCGGGTGCATTTCAGATTTAAAATGGTAATTGATTGAAAAAAAATAGCATGAAAGTTTCTGTACTTCTCATATCCTGTAGTAATTACGAATGAATAAGTTAAGCCACCAGTTTTTGAATTCTTTGATGACGAAGAGTCGACAAGATTCGATCATTTCATTACTTATTTGTGCACATATTCGTGTTATTCTCTTCGCACTGTGAATAAGCAATTTTAAGAACACATTTTAAAAATAAGAAAGCGGCTGGCCTGGGCCCACCTTACATAATCTGTCCGGCAGTAGATAGTGTCGTCTTTTATGAAGCACGAATGTTGTTGGTCAAGGGCAACTTTGCATATAGAACATCTTAAACAAAGTGCATGCCACGACCTGCCATTCACGTGTAGGAGAAAGCGATCAGCTATTAGTTGTCCACATGCGTAGCACATCTCTTGCTCCGTCTGAAAAGTAAAATGATAAATTACTATATGTTTTTATAGTTTATACATATTACTACATGTTCGATAATTACCACCGCTAATATATGTTTTAAGAATCTTTGTCAAAAATGAAGTGGAAAAATTACACTCAAAGTAGCAATAAATGTTGTTTTTATAAGAAATAATGGTGTATATATATATATATATANGAAAAAAAGGGGGGAAATAAAAATAAAAATAATAAGATACCGGGAAAAAAATCCGAAATAAAGAGAAAAACTTAATAAAAATCCGGAAAATAAAAGATATAATCTTTTCATCAGCTCACACGATTATATCCGCAAAAAAAGGGCTTTCTAATATTGTATCAATATAGCCAAAGCAAAATATATCAATACAATAGTGTGAGAAGCACTAAAAAAAAAAAAATTTTTTTTTTTTTTTACAAAAACTTTTTTTCTATGTGTTTTGGCAATTTCCAAAAGAATACCTCACATACTTTTCAATTGTATATTATAATTTCAACTTTAGTTTTTATAAACTTAATTAAATAGTCTTCATAACAATTATTATTTCATTAAGAAAGTTAATTGATATTTTATTGTAATAAATGTTACCTATTTCATATCAATAAAAATATTTCATATATAAAAATATATTAATCTTTCATGTCAGTTCCTTTGCTAAATTCGTTTATTTTGTATTGGTTTATAATCGCATCTACTTATATTAGTAAAACCAGAATTCGATTTGTTAAAATGAGATTCGTGAACACCTATATAGTGAGGCTCCAAATGCAATATCCTCTGAAATTGGGATGTGGGCTTAACAACAATATAAAAGGCCATTTTAATAAGGGTTAAAACTTATAAAATTTAAATACGGTAGAATCCCGATTATCCGAGTTATTGTGGACCACGACTAACTCGGATAATCGAAAAACTCGGTTAAAGCGAAGAGTATAAAAAAGGAAAGAAAAAGAGTAGGTATAAATGTAATATATTTTACAAATCCAAATTTTATACGTTCACACCACATACAAATATACCAAATTAAATAGCTTACTTAAAAATACTTAAAGATCATATTTTACACGAATTAAAGAGTTTTGACTCAAAAAAGTCCTTAATAGTTTTTTGTTTTGCATTACTTTGGTGCTTTTATGCAGCAATGTTTCACCATTTATTTTAGAGATAACAGGAAGGCTGGTGTCGCCTCTTCTTGTTGTTCTATATATTCAATAGCACTTTCGATATCTTTAATCTGTATGATAGATTTTTATATGTTGATTTTCATCGTCACTGTCTTCATCATCTTCGCTAGACTCATTTTCATTATTGACGATATTAATGATCTTTTCATCGATAATCTCGTGTTGTCCGTCAGCTTGTTTTCCTGAGTGTTTGGAAGATAAAATTCGGATTTTTTTTCGGTAGCAGTTTCAAAAATAAACTAGAAAAAAAAATTGAAATATTTAATAGCTCGGTTAAAGCGGATACTCGGATTATCGAGGCTCGGATAATCGGGACTTTTCTGTTGCTTTTATAATTTCATCACTAAAAGTATCTTACTCTATCAAATAATTGCATTAATAAAATTGTATGCATATAAAGTCTACCATCAGAGTGGTTATAATTTTTTTTAGCTCTGGCTAAACTAAAATGCTTTTATTTCACTGCTAACTTAAACATTTTATGAACCATTGAAAGCTTCGGTTTTAAGAAAATTATATCTATGGTACTTTTCTATTTTTACCATCCCGTATTGTTTACTTTTATTTTACTTCAAGGAAAAAAGACATGAAAAAATACTAAGAACCATTTTTAAGTAAAATTAGGTGTACCTTCAGAAATCTATGTATGACACACCTTATTCTTTATAAAGAAAGAATTATGTAACAAGAATTCAAAGACTAAATAAAAATATATGTATCAACTTTTGAGTAACAGAGAGAACAAAAGATGTATTAACCACCAGACTTCTTCCATGAAGGCACTTAGTAGTTTATTAGTACAATAAACTATCATATATGACATGTCAATCCTAGTTTATCGTGTTCCTACAAAATAGTTTAACTATGATTTATTTCTTTTCAAGAATTTGAATAGTTTATATAAAAGATTAATAAATTGACACACGAAAGTTTCTTGACAACTTTATATTTCAACAATAAGAAAAGAGTAACTCTAGACATTTTATTTGTATGTCTAGCACAGTAGGTTGGCATAGAATAGATGGCTAGAAGGCATGCCAAATACCTGTTAGAATTCTCGAGCCAAGAAACCTTACCAACATCAACAATAGTTGGACTTCTTTAAGACTATGGGTACTTAAAATGTACCCCACTGGCTTATAGTGATAAATTTATGTCGCCAGTCGCCAATGTGGCATATAGAATGGCGCCAAGCTAAATAGTTTGATAATGTGAGTAGAATAATAATGAGGTAGGTTTTTATAGTTCTGAAGCCCTTTACATACATTATGGCTGTCACCATGGCACGCCTCATCGTTCTTTTATAAGTCCGTTATTTGAAACTACCGGATCTTAGCTTATTTATTTAATTAAGAAGCAAAGTCAGCAAGATATTAATTGTCTCTTTTTTATGAATCCTGAACTTGTTTGATATCGAAGGAAGACGCACCTAAAAGCAATTCTCACATAAATCACATTTCTTGAGAAGTTAGCAAAGAAAAAAAAAAAGAAAGCATGGTTAGTTGATGAAATAAATAAGCTCGAAAAAACAAGCGTAATACGATAGCCAATTTTATATCCAATAACTATATTATCTCCATCTAACTTTTAAAAAAAGTTTCTTGACGTATTGATGATATTAAAGCTTTATTGTTTTGTTATTACAATTGGAATTCTCGGGTAGGATATATCTTGTACCAGCTCCCCTTACAAATGCATTAATTAATTTTTAATTGATATTAATAAATTGTTAATTGATTTTTATTTATAGTATGGGCAAAACAAAAATAATTGATTCAGCTATAAATAAAAATTAAAAGCAAAAAAATTTTAACCATTTTTCCAATTTCGAAAAAGATATTTTAATACCGAGATAAATTGAACAATATTTTTACCATTCCGAAGTTATTGTGTTTTTACGCACATAAATTTAAAAAAATTTCAATTAGTGAGCATTTATGAACATAAAATTTAATTAGTAGAACTGGGAAAATTACACATTAATGAATCTAGAATTTATTAAAGCATTTTTACAGGCAGGCATAACCACCAGAATATTTTAAATGAAACAATTAAAGTCGTTTGTTTTTATGATCACGCAGTTAGCCGCACATATTTACTTTTAACTATTTTATTAATCGTTTGCGCGTGCATTTTGTAATGCACTTCTGTGAAAAAAGTGCTTTAATAAAGTAGGTGTTCACTTAACTTATCAGTATTATCTTCGATAGGCTTTGCTGATCCAAGATTATTATTTTCTCAACCTTCTCTTTTAAAGAGATAAACTGTTAGTTTGTAATGGTTGGTAATAAGTCGCCCAGTTGCAAATCTTGGAAAGAAGTTATTTTCACTTCGTAAAAAAAAATTTGCTTATGCTGCAGAAGTTCCTTTTTTATCCACTTTTTGAAGTCTGAAGTTATTTTTATTTATTGCTTCTGTATTCACTTTTTGTTTGAAGTTCATAACAAAAGTGAAAATTGAATCTGAAACAGAAATTATTTTCACTTCCAGTAAAAAATCATTTCGATCGCAGAAGTTCTTTTTTATTATATTCACTTCCTATTTCTCTATTAGCATTAGGTTTTTTTCAATTTAAAAAAACCTGGATGGTGCTTTTCGTAACTCGATGACTGGTAAATAAGTTTATTCCCATACTGCCAACCTTTCGAATTTTATTTTTACATTTAAAATGAAATTTATACTTTTTATTTACTTTATGTATTGCTAAATTTAATTTAAAATAATTTTGACCATGACTGCAAATAAATAGTATAATTGTGCTGAAAAATGTTTTTATTTTCGAATAATTCTTAACAAAATAAAAATTTTACTTATTATTGTAACTTATTATTGCTATAAAACTTGAAAAAATTATTGAAACCCTTCCATCACCAGAAAGTGACAAAGAGGATTACAGCAAAATTAAAAAAACCTCGGTTTGATTCTGTTGATGCAAAAGATCAACTAGATGAAAGTGACCTCTTTTAAATTTCCAAGTTCAGAAAGTAACATATTCCTCTCATTTTCATCAAAGACTCAATTTTATTTCTTTTTATATCCGTCGTTGAACAGCTGACCTATTTTTGGGTTTACGACTACTAATGTTCAATTCAGTAGCGTTGTCATTTTGAACCTATCCAGAAGACAAGGAAACGCCTGGATCAGTACCCCCAGATGTATTGATTAGTTAAGCAGTCATTTTGACTACTTGGGAAAACCGGGATAGCCTGGTTGATAGGGCACTGGGCACAAGTCCAAGGTGGTCGTGGGTTCGAAGACTCCCCGTGTAGTAAATGGTGACTGATGCACGTTAAATCTGCCAAGTCGCTAAGTCCTCCATGTTCCCATAACAAATCAATACCTCTGGGAGTACTGATCCAGGAGTTTCCTTGTCTTCTGGATTGGTTCAAAATTACAAGGCTACACAGTTGAACATTAGTAGTCGTAAACCCAAAATTGGGTCGGCTGTTCAACGACGGATAAAATAAAAATCAAATCATCCCTACTAAAGTGATTTTTTCCTCATGAGTCATCCTATTTAATGATCATTGATAAGGTTTTTCTTCGTGTTTTTATTTCCTGGCCGATACTATGAAACGCGTCTCAAGTTGAAAAAGTTAGTCGTTCTTTAAATTTATTTTGAACTATAATTTGATATACTGATGGAATTACAGTAATAAAATTATTTTTACCTCTTAAACGTAGCAGGAAAAAAACTACTTAAGAATGATGTTCTTAGTATTCGGTAATCAGGTGATTATATAAAATGAGGTTGCCAACTTGTGTATAATTAAAAATAAGAATTTAATGGTAAACTTTTCTCCTTTTG